TGTAGATTTTTTTTAAATCCATGTTTTTGTATAATGTGAACTAGCGATACCATATTATGATGATTTTTCTCAAGATTTCATTTCATAAATTCCCCATCTGATGGAATAAATTGAACATTGAAAATTAAGAGTATTATCCTACGTTTTCCACCGAATATTTGGATCAAACTACGCGTTCGATTTATACTTGTGAATGGAGTATTCCCCAGCTAACAATGTTCAAGGATGATGTTTATCCTACGTTTTCCACCGAATATTTGGATCAAACTACGCGTTCGATTTATACTTGTGAATGGAGTATTCCCCAGCTAACAATGTTCAAGGATGATGTTTATCCTCGTTTTTCCGTCCGCGTGTCCCACTGGGCGTTTTGGACTGTCAGAAATTCAACATTGAGGAACCGTGAATTCCTCCACAATTTGCCAAAGGTATCAAGTAGTATTTGATTTGTATCCGAATACCGAGAAATCGTGCCCATACATTTCGTGTCAAACTGTCATTATCAGGAAATTGATGTTATTGTGCTATCTGAAATGGGCAATACTTTTGAAGCAACGGTCGGCTATAAGTTTGGCGAAAATGGTCCAGTCGTCATGACTATATACACTTGTCAGAATATATCATCATGAGGGCTAAAAAATCAGGCAAGAACGACAAATGAAATTGTAGGCGTCGCGGCAACTTTCATAACTAACATTACCAAAGTACAGGGCCATTAGGATCATTCTAGCTAATGTTTATCCTAGCACAGAGATGGCCAATATAACCGGAGCTGTCGACGCTCTCACTTCAGCCAGAAGCAGCGACAGACACAGCGGTACAGGGTCAGACTATGTATTCAGCCATGTTAGCTCCGTTGGCGTATGCATAGTACATCTCTCAAGTACTTGATTACTTTATGAATCAATCAGTTTCTGTATGTGGAGGACTGACTGGAATCCGAACAAGGGCCTTAATAACTTCAGCGAAGTTCTCGAATTTTAATACAATTTTGATACAAGGGTGTCAGTGATAGAACGCCTTAAATACTTTCATAAACAAAGGCACAGAATCAAGTAGAAATGGAAAATCTGAGAACGTCACAAACTTAATATTTTGAATGGTCTAGGCGTTGCTGATTATTTTTTAATGTAAGGCAAGTGTATACAATATCGCCATATTAAGCTTTTAATTTTTTTTAGATAGGAAAAACATATTTTTTATGAAAGTTTATATGTTAAACTTTTTATCTAATCTATTTACCAATAGTTACGAAATATACTAAGTGACATATAAATCCGAACACCCAGTTTAAATGGTTTTATTTTAATAAAAGTTGGTGAATGTATTTATCTTACTGTAAATAACAAGTGAAAAAATTTTCAGCCTTATCAGTTGGACATTCCGGTTTTTATACTGCTTTTTTTTAATTCACTAACGCTCTAAAAATGAATATTTCAGCCGCAGTAAAGAATCAACATTGGCGGATTTTGGTTCTTGACATCCTTTACGATCGGTTACGATGCCTAGAGTACGGAGACCTGTACGATTTCGTCAACTTAGTGAGTTTGATAGGGGCCGTATAGTGGGACTTCGGGAAGCTGGACTTTCTTTTCGGGCAATTGCAGTTAGAGTGCAAAGAAGTGTAGACACTGTGGTTAGGTGTTGTCAGGCATGGCTTCGAGAAGGCCGTACGCAAAGAGCAAGGGGCACTGGACGTCGCCGTAGAACAACAGACCGTGAAGATCGCCACCTAAGATTCTTGGCCTTAAGGGACCGTTTCTCCACTACCAGGTCCATTGCAAATGAATGGTTTGCAGAACACGGAAGACCTATTGGCATGCGAAGTGTTTACCGACGAATGAGAAGTTTTGGCTTGTTTTCATACCGGCCACACTGGGTCCTCCCTTTAACTAGAGAACACCGACGTAATCGCCTTGAGTGGTGCAGACAACGGTCACTCTGGGATCAGGAATGGAACAGTATTGTCTTTAGTGACGAGTCTCGATTTTGTTTAGGCATGCACGATGGTCGTTCCAGGGTTAGAAGGCGACGTGGTGAAAGGAGGAATCCACAGTTTTTTGTTGAAAGACATGTTCATCACACTGTTGGAGTTATGGTTTGGGGTGCTATAGCTTATGGTCCCAGGTCACCTTTAATCTTCATCAGAGGTAACATGAACGCGCAGCGTTATATCCACGAAGTTCTAGAACCCCATCTTTTACCCTATCTTGACACCCTGGCAGATCCAACTTTCCAACAAGATAGTGCCCGACCACATGTTGCAAGAGTCACAATAGACTTCTTTCAACATAATGATGTCACATTGTTACCATGGCCACCAAGATCTCCCGACTTATCCCCAATTGAGCACGTGTGGGATATGATGGGTAGGAGGTTGCTCAATTTGCAACGTCCTCCTCAGACTCTAGAAGCACTTCGAGAGGAGTTGGTGGTTGCCTGGAATGAGATACCACAGGAGGACATTGACCACCTGATCAGAAGCATGCTTAGGCGCGTTGGAGAATGCGTAGCACATCAGGGTGCATCCATACATTATTAAAGGTCAAAGGGCTTTAAAGCAGTGCAATCATTTTGAAATTTTTATCATTTACTTATTATGCTTCATTAAGTACTTATATTATATATATATATATATATATATATATATATATATATATTAAAATAAAACCATTTAAACTGGGTGTTCGGATTTATATGTCACTTAGTATATTTCTAGCACACGGAGAGCATTTGTTAAGTTTTTAAATAATTTTGCAAATTGACGATATTGTCATCAATGGTCTTGCAATATCGCCACCTATTTCATATATTGAGTTGTCAATAAACTTTTAAAAAGAAGAAAAACGACACCAAATTTTTAGCAAAAAGTTTTTATTCATAAGTGCAAATAATAATGGCAACAAAAATTATGAACAGTAAGGACAGAAATATCCGTGTATTTTGTCCTCCTTAGTCAATCCAAGGCAGTCATCATGCAAATAAGATTTACACATGACACAAAGGCGCATATCGGCCACTCTGTCTTCTTGACATGCTCTGCAATACCAACTTTCTTCTTACTTTTGCTTCGGAGACCTTTTCTTTGGTACAATTTTCTTTGATTTTGCGGACTTAGGCTTCTTGTCACCGGCTGAAGATTTATTGAAAAGGTCCTTTGTAACAACTTGTGCTCTACTATTTATTGCCGGTTTTCTGAATTTTCCGAGGGACTTTTGTGCTAATTCTGGTGTATTGAGCATATCAGTGAAAGAAACATCGTGCTCAACAGTGGTTTCGGAAACCTCACTAGTTTTGTCCTCAAATGAAGTCTCAAACGTCTCAAAAGTTTCACCTCAGAATCATCACTGCTGCTAATTTTTTGGGAAAGGCTGTTCAAGTTTTTTTTTTGAAGGATTTAATAAGGTATTCTTAAGTGTCAGCTTGGTAGTATTTGATGGACCTGGAGGCGGAGTCTTATCTCTAATTTGGGCAACTTGATTTACTGGATTTTCAGTTTCGTAGGCTTCACCAGTTTCGTCTTCCGGTGAAATATCAGAAATATCAGAATTCTTTTTTGAATGGTTGGATAATTTAGTCTTGATCGTCAGTTTGGCGGTATTTGAAGGTCCCGCAGACGATGTCTCATTTATAGTTTGAGCAGCTTGATTAACTGGATTTTCAGTGACGCTACTTGGAGCAAATGCCTCAACCGGTAGAATACTTGGGTTAAAGGGAAATATACCAGTGGCAGTAAACCCAGATTTAATATTAGAGGGGGTCACGGACTTATGCCAAACAATGGAAAAAATGGCACCAAAACGTTGTTTCGTCAAAGAAGGGTCTCTATGATTTGACCAATACTTGAGAACTTAATCATCCCAATAGTGCTCAAAAGAGCGAAAGACTGCCTTGTTCAAAGGTTGAAGTTCATGGGTGGTATTGCTTGGTAAGCAGTATAGGGTGATGCCCAACTCTTCAGCGACAGTGACAATTGAGTGGTCTAAATGACATTTAGCGCCATAAAAAATTAAGAGACATGGTCCAGGAACTTTGAAATTGGCAAAATATAATAATTTGAAGATTTCTATGGTCATACTACCTTTGGGTGTCATCAAAGCCATGCTTCCTGGTAGAAGAGAGTCGGTCATTTCCTATTTCATTGGTTTTCCTTTGAATAGCACTAAAGGAGGGACTGCAGAACTCAAAGCGTTTCCACAAGAGACTATTGTCACATTTTGTCCATGTTCATGAGCTCGTTTGGCCCCCTTCTTTGCAAGGACTGCTTGTTGGTGATGGAGGGCCAGACGACAGCCTTTCTCATCCATATTGTATATGCACTGAGGTTTATCCATGATGTCAAGGTTAGTCAGAATTTTACGTAGTTTCGAATAGTGGCCAGTCACTATAAAACGGTTTAGTTTTTGGGCCCTGGCAGGATTCATACTCTCAGCCTTCCGCTTTCTAATTTGTGGACTCCGGTTAAAGAATCCTTTGAGCCAGAAACGTTCAGCTATTTTTTTTCCTTATTAAATGGATGGCATATGGAGTTAGCATCGCAAAAATTAAAAACACACCTTCGCAATACTTTAGAAGTTATCCTATTTCTGCCAAGCGAATAATTCTTGAACACAACTCTTGTTCTTGTTCCTTGGTGAGAATAGATTTACGACCCATGCTACATTTCGATGTTCGATTTTTTCCTAAGTAGTCCCTCAGCGTTCCACGGGGTACCGAAATTCGCTTATTTGCTAAATTCTTGGACATACCATTTCGAACTGCAGCAATAGCTTTTTGCAAGTTTTCCTCACTCCACTTTCCCCGTATACCTCGATTCCGTTCTCTAGGCACTGGCACTGGCGATATTGTCACATAATGAGATTGGCGGTATTGCTATGAGGGATATCAGTTCAAGGTTTGTTTATTAACAAAGATTAAAACTATCTTTCAAAAGGAAAGTTAGGAATAAACAAATACACAAAAGTATAAAAGTAAGATAAGTATTCGGAAAAACTACTTACCAAGCAATTTTGGATGATATAAACAAAATAGATTTTAATATACTTTAGATCGCACATTCACGAAAAAAGCTTTTGACCTGTAAAAAAACAAGTGAAATGAAATTTGAGGTTATGAAGCAACTATTACTCGTCATTTGTCGTAAATTTATTATCTCATTATCTCATACAGAATCCGTAACGCCATCTATCAACTAAGGGCATAATGTACACATTGCGATATTGTCAAGATGGCGATATTGTATACACCTACCTTAGTACAAAAGTTTATGGAGATCAACACATAAAAAAATGCGAAAATTTGTTATTTGACGTTTTCTTACTTTCTGGATTTTTTGGACCATAGTTTGTTGAGATATAGGTTGTTCGGAACTTCTGAGACCAGGCATGCCTTTTATGGTTGACTATATCGCTAACAACACTTAGAACAAGTTAATTTACATCTCAAAAATCTTTAGTTTAAATTAATTCCGCTCATTCCTCGCTGTGGGGAGTGGAAACATTTACTTGAAGTTACGCTAGTATATCTTTTTACGTATCTATATGTGAATAGTTTTGAATAAAAATAATACAGTTGTAAGTCCACATATTTGGCCTTAAATGTGTCCCAATGTTACCCCCCCCATTTGGGGTAACTTTGGTACATTGGCTTTTTATATGAATATTTCAACGTCATGGGCCTGTGTCCTAAAGATAGACATTGCTGAACAAAAAAAAAATGAAATGGCAAGCAAAATATATATACATATTTTTGCTATTTTTTTAATTATAACGGGTGATTTTTTAAGAGGTATAGGATTTGATTTTCAAAAAAACACAAAAAATTTGAAAAAACGATTAAATCTTTATTTGAGTCGATAGAACGGTCGATATAATTTAATGTTTAAAGATTATTTCATGTAAATGTTCACCGCGGCTCCGCTTTAGATGGCCCATGCGCAAGGTCCAATTTTGGCACACTCTCTCCAACATATCGGCCGGTATCTCACCAATAAATGCTTCAATATTGGCTTCCAGTGCGTCAATCGTTGCTGGTTTGTCCCTGTAGACATTAGCCATAACATGGCCCCACAAGAAATAGTCCAACGGCGTTAAATCACACGATTTAGGCGGCCAATTGACGGGCCCTAAACGTGAGATAAACTGTTCACCGAACTCGCCACTCAATAGGGCCATTGTTTCGTGTGCGGTGTGGCATGTGACACCGTCTTGTTGAAACCACACGTCAGCCAAGTCCAGCTCTTCCATTTAGGGCAAAAAAAAGTTTGTTATCATCGTACGGTAGCGCTCGCCATTCACAGTTACGTTCCGGCCATTGTCGTCTTTGAAGAAGTACGGCACGATGATGCCACCGGCCCATAATCCACACCAAACAGTGATTTTTTCGGGATGCATCGGTAGCTTTTGCAATGCTTCTGGCTGGTCTTCACTCCAGATGCGGCAATTTTGCTTGTTAACGTACCCATTCAACCAGAAATGAGCTTCGTTGCTGAACACAATTTTTCGATAAAAATGTGGATCTTCCTGCAACTTTGCCAGCGCCCATTCACCAAATTGGAAACAATGTGGGAGGTCGTGTGGCTTCAATTCTTGCACCAGCTGTATCTTATAAGGTTTTACACCCAAATCCTGTCGCAAAATTTTCCACGTAGTGGAGTAACAGAGGCCCAATTGCTGCGAACGGCGGCGAATCGACATTTCACGGTCATCACTTAAGGTACGGTTTCGTTGGTGCGGCTCGCGACTGCGATTGAGTCGCAGCAACGACTGCGACTACAGTCGCGGCACTGGTTTTATACAATTTATGCATATACGGTTTGGTTGACGCCGTTCAGTCGCAGACCGCTACGATCGAGCCGCAGCAGTTGCGACTCGACTGCTCCTGGACCAGTCAAATCGCGGTCGTTCAGTAAAAATGGAGAAATTCAATGCAAATGAGGATGATATATTGATTGATGAGGTTCAAAAATATCCCGCTATTTTTGATTACGAGCATGAAAACTACAAAAATTTTATATGCGAAGAGAATGCCTGGAAAAAAATAGCATGTTCGGTAGGAAAAAGCAGTAAGTAACATTAATTTACTTCATTTTCTAATTATGAACGTTTGTTTTTCCTTTTTTGGCTCAGTTTCATAGCCATCAAATAATTTATATATAGTCTATTCAAATTCAATAAAAGTTCGATGTAAACAAAATAATGTACGTTCGAGTCACGGGAACTGCAATACCGGCGACTGGTGATCGATTAAAGACTGGCGCTGTCCAAGGGGTTGAGTTACCTTTATCACTCGTATTGAATATGGGAGAGGAAAGACAAATGGTTGCTTGGATTTTGGCCTGAAAAATTTCGATCCTCCTGCATAGAGGGCATTTATTGCTTGCCAACCAATAATACATGGCCATGCCGTCACGGCATGCTGCAATCATCCGATATCGCTTGTTTACATCCTACTTTGATTGAAATTGAATACACTCTAGTTGGGAACACCATGTACCGCGTATTTATTTGTTCTATTTTGAAACTCATTTTATTCTAGGAATTTTTATAAAAAAACAAATTTTCATGTAAACATTTTTTATTAGGTTTTTCTTGTGATCCCTGTTTATAATAACAATATACATTGAAATCAGTATAAGGTTGTAATATCATAATAATGGATTGCTGACATGTACAGATTGTCTTATACTTTCGAAATCTACTGATTTTGCCATTCGACAATCCCTTCCTGTGAGAAAAACCTCATAAACTCATCTCTCACATGGAACCCTTCAACGTTTTGATATCCCCCCGCTCCTGTAAGATTCCGAAAAACATTCGAGTTTTCTTCTTTTGAATCATATTCATAGTAGGGAACCCCTTTTCTTTCCAAATATGCTTCTCGCAATAAATTATGTAAACAACAGGCGGCTAATATCAAGTCATCACATACCTCTGGTTTTACAGCTATAGGAGTATAAAACACTCTGAACACCTGAGATAGCAAACCAAAAGCATTTTCACTCACTCTTCTTGCCCTACTCAAACGGTAATTAAAAATGGCTTTTGATTTATCAGCAGTGGCTGCCAATTTAGTGAACGGTTTCATTAAGTGTTTATCCAAACGAAACGCCTCATCTCCGATAATTACATGCGGCAATACTTTATTTGATTTAGGCAATTTTTGATCTGCCGGAAAAAAAATTCTGAAAGTGCATTACTTTTTTTCCAAAAGCCGATTTATTAAATATTGAGCTGTCACCTTCTTTTCCGTACGACCCTACATCTAAAGCAATAAACTTACAATTTGCATCAACTAAAGCAAGCATAACAATGGAAAAGTATTCTTTATAATTAAAGTATAAAGATCCAGATTTTGCTGGAGCAAATATTCTAGCATGCTTGCCATCCAAGGCTCCAATACAGTTCGGAAAATCCCATCGTTCTCAAAATTCTTCAGCTTTTTTGGTCAATGCTTCCTTTGTTGGCGTTGGAATAAAAATGGGCACCAATTGTTTACATATTGCTGATAAAGTTTCTCGGATGATTACACTTATGTAACTGTGGGAGATTCTAAAAGCAAATCTAAGAGATCTGAAAGACTCCCCAGTTGCCATATACCTAAAACAACATAGAGACTTAGGACAGACGTCATGTTTCCAAAAAATATCATAACGCCTGTCTGGAGATTGCCTGCCCAAAAATAATATTGAAGAACGTATTGTACCCTCCTTAAAACTAATAATGCATTTTTGAATTCTTTTAGATAACCAATCTCCAGAGATGCACATCTTTTGAAAAACAATATAATAAAAATTCTTTAATTGGACTTAAATCTAATTCAAAGGGTGTAAGTTGAAAAGTATGTTTTGTTTTTTTTTTCGTAGGTGACAATTGCAAAAGGCGATGGAGAGACATCAAGGATACCTATTTTAGAAACAGAAAAAAACGTAAATTCGGGACCGGTTCAGCAGCATCTGAACGAGTAATAAAGTGGACCCTTTACGATCGGCTTTCCTTTCTTGATGTTATTAAGCATGAACGAGAATCAAAAAATACCTTGACGGAAGAAGAGGAAACTCCAGCTTACAGCGAGACGGACTACGAAACCCAACCAACCGATGAATCAACATTAGACGATTCTGATTTACTAGACGAATATTCAACCTCATCCACATCTCGTCTAACTTCAGACGCAATGAAATTGAATAAAGGGCTGAATAAGAATCCTTTTCAACAAAACTGTGGGAAAGGATCGCAGCCCCGAGTGTCAAAACTAAATACCATGGCTCAATTTGAAGAGAGAGCTCAGAAGCGAATGGAGCTCCTTGAATCTATCCACAAAAAAAACATTTCAAATTCAGAAGATGACGTAGATTTGTTCATGAAAAGCATTAGCTTCACCGTTAAAAAATTTCCACCTGCTGAACTGAATGAAGCAAAACTTGGTATCCTAAAACTCGTAAGCGATCTTCAGCTCAAATTAGCAACACAAAATTCATCTCAACAAACTCCAGCACATAGTTCACAACCAACCTCACCTGCCGATAGATCAAATTCACATTCTTTGGGTACAAATCAATATCAACTAAATGGACCTTTCAATCTGACTGAGACTACGTCACATACTACTGCTAGTACTAGTCAATATAAACTACAGAATGGATCTTTTCATCTGGCTGCGACTGAGTCGGATAATACTGCTGGTTCATATTTTAAAAGCTATAACCCAGAACAACAGAATTCATCAATATCAAATGTTTCTGGATTCATGGCCTCGGAGCAAAACTCGGAATACGAACTACGATACCAGCAATTAAATTAGTTACATTAGTTAGTTTTGGTTAGATATGTTGTATTCTAAGCTCATAATATATTTTGTGTTCTAACTGTATCTTTGTTTTTGCTCAATTTTTTTCTTTCCTACCTTAAAGTTAGCGCCAGCTTTTCCTCTGCTGTTATTGGAAACTTTACACAATTCGTTCCAGGCTTTTCTATATCCTCTTGTATGAGTGACAACAAAATCAAATTGCTCGGGATTTAACCGGAAAAATTCTCTAAATTTTTTTTCGTCCTCTTTTAAATGTCCGTTTATGAGTAGACTAAAAAATCCTTCTTCTGTACGTTTTTGGAATATATCGTGTTTTTCACATCTTTGTTTTTCTAATAACTTCAGTTGTAGCCATTCATCTTCTTCCTCTTCTTCTAAGAGAATCACACTTAACAGATCACTATTATTCATTTTCTACGACTTAGACCTTCCACATCATACAGCAAGATCTTTTAAACCAATCTAAATCGCAATCGCTTTCATTTAGAGACGCACTAAAATAAAACACTCTACATTGCGGCTGCGACTGCAGCCAATCGTAGTCGCGAGCCGCAGCCGCTCGAGCCGCACCAACGAAACCGTACTTTAGCTCTGGCGGATACAGCCGCAATATTTTCTTCAGTCCTCACTCTACGTCTGCGTGTTGGTGGTTTAATGTCCAATAATGTAAACTGGGTTCGAAATTTAGTCACAAGCTTCCGAATAGCTCCCTCAGTAGGCCGACCAAATTGCCCATAAATTGGAAGCAGTGCTCGATGCACTCTCTTAACCGAGCATGAATTTTGATAGCAAAATTCAATAATTTGCAAGCGTTGTTCGTTCGTAAGTCGATTCATGGTTAAATTATAGACCAAACTGAACAAGTTTGACAATGACACAAGACACGATTCACGCGTCATCTGTCAAAAACAGTGTTGCCAAAAAGATACTAGCAAAAAAATCACCCATTAGTAGGGGGCAAAAGAACAGGATTAAAGTCTCTTAAGGAGCTTTTATTGCTAGATAAGTACATAAAAATGAATTTTTAATATTTCAAATCATTACAAGTTAAATAAATAATAAATATCATCAGTTTTGTATTTTTAAAAACACAAAAAAATAAAAATTAAAAAGATATAATGCCTTAAATAAGACCTAAATCTAAAATCAAACAAACATATTTTCCTTAAGCAAAATCTTCCAATTCTGGAACATCGAAAACTTCTCGATGTTCACGACGTTCAGGTGTTTTTATAGCCATTATTATTTCTTGGTTGCTATAAAATATTTCGTCTTTGTGATTTGGCCATTTCCATAGCTTTCCATAGGGTGTCATAACATTGACAATCGCTCCAAGTTTAAAAGCTTTCGTGATTTGTCCAGGGTAATATTTTTGATTGTAAATAACCAAAACGTAATTTCCAACTTTTCTTGAATCCACGGAAAATGCCATTTCAGAAATTGTAAGGGCTATCGTCTGTTTCTGCATATTTAATACTCTGAATGCTACTATGTGAGCTCTCTGAATCATTTTTTGTTCTTTTAGATTTCTGGCTTTTTATTTAAAATACAGGTAAGCTGTTGTCAGAATCTCTACCTCTAGAAGGCTCTTGTATGCTCCTCATGTTCTGGATTCCAGACGTGGAGGGCTGCGGCGAATTGTTGGGAGGCTCGGTGCAGGAGGCATTCTGTACATCAGCAACCGTTATCCCTTTACCAGGAGGCACTTGGAGTTTCTTTCTTCTACGAATACGGGGTGCTGTCGTTTCGTGACGTATTTGAGCAAGATGTTCCAAAGAGCTTTCGTCAACAAATTTTTTATATTGCAGGGTCGTCAGCCATCACATTTCCGTGCAATCCACTCAAAACGACTTCCTTATTAAAAGGGAAAATTCCGCATTTTCTGAATCCAGATTTAAGATTCTCAGCAGTGCGCTCTTCCAATCTTGTCAACAGAGTTTTTAAAAACCTAGGAAAGGTATTCTTTGGTATTCCGCTTAAACGACATCCATCAGCCGTGTTCTTTCAGTCATTTAGAATTTGTCTCCAGTTTCTCTTCATAGGACGGAAGTATGCTACATCCAGCGGCTGCAAGAGATGCGTACTATTTGGAGGCAGTGGAATAAATCTTATATTATTGAATTCGCACTGTCTGATCACCTCCACATTGAGGTGGGAACTAAGGTTGTCCCCAATTAAAATTTTACGACCCTCTTTTCGTTTTAGAATTGGGAGAATTAAATTAATAAACCAATCCTCAAATAATTGGAAGTCTAACCATCCAGTTCTCGTACGGTTATAACGGGCATTTAATGGACCATCTTCCGTCGAGGTTGACCATAGCTTTTGAGCTTTGTAATTAATATAAACCGGAGCAAGCTGACCCTCGGCATTTCCGCAAAGCATAACAGATGTACATGCTTTTGAAGAATTGCGAATCTTCTCAGGGTACTTGGTCCCCCTCCTTGTAATAACTTTGGATCGGCCCGGATCATCGACGAGATTTGTTTCGTCGTAATTATAGATGTTTGCTGGAAGGACCCCTTCCAGCTCTATTTGGAGATTATCAAAGTACTCGTTAATCACAGCCTCGTCTATAACTGCTCGTGCGTGCGAAATATTTTGGGAGAACCTTTGACTAAGTTCTGATCTGCGCTTTAAACATGAAGCTACCCAATCAGGACCTGGATAGTTGTTTTTAAAACATGAAACTTTTCTTCCCTGCCTATCTAAGTAAGCCTTAACACAAACTTTTAAGTCTTTAGCTGTTATTGGAAAACCAAGGAAGAAAAGGCAATTAAATGTCCAGCGAATGATTCTTCTTCATCTTCCGAAAAGACCCTCGGCTTACCATGTCTACGAGTTTGCTTTCCATGGATTTTGTTCCATAAAGTGTTTTTCGCTATCTGATACTTTTTTGATGCACTACGGAGAGAAATCGATTTACTTTTAATTTCATCGACAGCCTGTTGAAGTTTTTCTTTACTGAATAATTTCGCGCACCAAGTAGACGCTGTGGCTTGCGAGGCATTATTACTCCTGAAATAGTTAAACAAAAGCTATGCAAAATTAGTGTCAGTGTAACTTTGGTACACTATGTTTTCTAAATTAGATTCCACAGCAAACGTCTGCAGTCTAACTTTGGGACGTGTACCAAAGTTACCTACACATGTTACCATTTTTTATGTAAACAAACAATATTTTATTGGTGTCATTATTTCTTTTACCAAAAGTTGTCATATTTGCGGCTTAAATATTTTTGTAAGGTAAAGTGTGGGAAAAATAGCAGGTGTCCCAAAGTAATCTCAAGTCACAAAGTTAGCCCGGTTTACTGTTCGACAAAAAGTCAATATTTTAAATGATGATTATATTAGTGTTGATAAGACTGCTTAAAAGTTAATATTTATGAGATTAATTGGAAATGATAATTATATATGCATTATTATTTATTGTAATTTTCGAGAATTGGAGTGTGACAATTAGCTTTCCATCTTTGTAAAAGTGTTATAGTTCCTCATCCAGTTTAAACTAACAATTTTAGTAACACTAACTAAATGTTCTGTTGCTTGCTCTTTTGCAATACTAATAGCAGAATGACCAATGAATATATGATGGGGTCACAGAACAAACCCTGACGATTTTTTCCACTGTTGTTGAAAGAAGCAGTTTTGATTGAACATTTTCATCTTAATTATTTATTCTTTCTTCGGTCAAGCTCCCGAGGCAGAAACATGCCAGTGCTTCTAAATATTTTTTCAATCACATAGTCGCGTATCTCGGAGCTTTGAGAGAGAGAACAGTTTCAGGCCCAAGTGATTTACGTTCTCCAATGTCTTTATTAAGCGTTGGAAGATCCGCTGTTATTCAGAGATAAATGTCGAAGAACCTATCGGAGAAAAATCATATTACCTATGCAGGTCACAGTTCATCAGAATTGTCGTATTCTCAGATCATTTAAAAAAAATTATACAAAAACCTTAGAGAAAGCATATGTACTAATAACATTTTTTGTTATGACGAGCAAACAAATCTAAAAGAAACGTGACCGCAGCTTTGGATATGTATGCCTCTCGTGTTGGAACAATTAATGACTCTTATGGCATTTATATCTACTGTAAAAATTCTGCAGATACGAGATACCAGTCACATAAATAAATTGTAAATAAGACTTTATGTCGATGTGTAAATGTGATAACCTAAAATGCGCTTATTTATGAACATTCAATACAATTCAAAGATGCTCACTATTATGTGTGTACAGCGTAATTCCTTATTAGACGCATAGATTGAATCAAGCAATCATAATCTAATATAGTACATAATTATGTATATACATTCACTTACAAATTATTGCATATGGCGAACGAAAACATTAATAAATCCCTAGATTATACACCGCGTAATATTTATAGTATTATAAAACAATAGAAAATAGATACATAGTAGTTACCTTATCTTGAGATTTATCGTTATTGTTTTCTAAAAACCTATCAACTTAGATCTCAGAAAAATAAACCGATTGTCAAAATAATTACCACTTTATTACATTGGCGTCGGGCTAGGGATTTCATAAGCAGATTTCTATTTACTACTTGTCCGATTTTAACCGGTTTGAATTTTGAAAAAGCAAAAACGGAAATCTCCACGCTGGTGGGTTTTGAAATTGTATCAAAGTAGGAAGATTTATAGTGGATCAAGCTTGCTGGCGGATCTAAAATTCCAGCATACCAGTGGGCTATGTAAAAATTTCACTAGAATGCATCCCACTGATTTTGAATTTTTACTAAATTTAATTGGTCCATTGATTTTCAGAAGAGACGAGATTTCGTGAATCAATTCCAGCACAGGAGGGGTTGGCACTAACTCTGCGTTTTTTGGATACCGGCGACTCATACGTTAGCCTCCAATATCTATTTAAAATATCTAAGCAGTCAATTAGCCGAATCATCCCTGAAGTATGTGATGCCCTTATAGACACACTCAAGAACTACATTCAGGTACATTCAGCACAGGAGGGGTTGGCACTAACTCTGCGTTTTTTGGATACCGGCGACTCATACGTTAGCCTCCAATATCTATTTAAAATATCTAAGCAGTCAATTAGCCGAATCATCCCTGAAGTATGTGATGCCCTTATAGACACACTCAAGAACTACATTCAGGTAAGTGAGTTGTATCGTATTATTCAAAATTTTCATTTAAGAAATATTATTTTGTTATTTGATTTCATTATTTTTTTATTTATTCACTTTGTATTTTTTCATATTTATGTGAAATTTATGTGTGGTAATATGCATGATTGCTAGGGAAAATAATTAAAATTAAAAAAATTAAAAAAATACAAATAATAAATAGTAATACGTTCTGTAATTCACATTTGTTGTGTTATCTACATAGGCGTGAAAATTCTGTGAACTGTGTGACATCTCTGATGACGTAGAAGTGCTTGCTAATGGTACTGTGGGAGTGAAATTTTGTGAATTATAGATAGAAGTATTTTGTGAATTGTATGACAAGTGGGAGGAACCAGGATTATTTGAGTAGTTTTCAGGTACAATGACTGGGTTACCTACTGTATGGGGTATATGAGGAAGACGCGGATATGCGATATTATATCGGCCTTGATTAGCCATCTGAAATATATTCATAATATCATTTTAAATAGCGCTTTTTGTAAATAAGTCATATGCACGAAGTTTGGAAGCTACAAAATTTCCAAAGTAGTAACATTCATCTTGATTGGTATTGATTTGCTTGGCTGAGGATTGGAGAATTTGGAAGGCTTGATCAAGGCGTTCGGTACCACTCTCGGGACCACTAGACATGGTTGCCTTTTTCTGTTCTTTCCCAAGGACCGAATAATTCTTTTGATTTGAGGGCTCTCCGCAATGTTGCTAGATTCTTTCTCTTGAGATGCAGGATCATCCACTTTAGCCGATGCTTCATCTTCAACAGTAGATCCAGTGCCTCCTTGATGACAAACTTCTTCATCTTCACATAAATGCATCTGCAATTCAAAACAAAATACAAATTCTCAATATATCTATAGAATGAGGCCTTATTTATAAATATTGTACTTTTCTAAATATTTCTCAATTTTCCAAAAATCTTTTTTTTAATATTTTGTTTTTTTACAGATTCCGAAACACAAGACGAAAATAGTAGGAGCAGTTGATGGAAAGCACATTATACTGCAATGTCCCATAAATAATGGCAGTGAATACATCAATTATGAAGGATTCTTCAGCATAGTTCTTTTTGCAGTGGTAGATGCTAGCTATAATTTTATATTTGTGGATGTAGGATGCCAAGGCCGAACATCTGACGGTGGAGTATTTTCTAGTACCTGCTCGTACAAAGAAATGGAAAACAGAACACTGAACATCCCTCACCCTACTCCTCTTAATGGGAGAGCACAAAAAATACCGTATTTTTTTTTTTTTGGAGATGAAGCTTTTGCGATGTCAGAAAACGTTATGAAAGTATATTCGGGCTACCATGCAAAAGGACCAAAACAAAGAATTTTTAATTAAAGGGTGTGTAGAGCTCGTAGGGTTGTTGAAAATGTTTTTGGCATAGCTTCAGCTGTTTTTCGTGTATTACGAAAACCTATGCTAATTTCATCAGAAAAAGTATCAACTATTGTGTTAACCGTTGCTTTCTTACACAACTTCTTACGACGAAGACCAGACTCAATTGCCCTTTACAATGCACCCGGAACATTTGATTCTGAACAGTCTGGTGTCCTGGCAAATGGGAGTTGGAGAGCAATGTATCCGATGAATGCAGTTCATTATTACCTCTGAGAAATATACCACGTAGAGCAAAGTCAAATTTTATAAATTCGCGTGATGAACTAGCCGATTATTTCCATTTAAAGAAGGTAAAATAGAGTGGCAAAATCGGTATGCTTAGAAAAGAAAAGATAATGTAAAATTGTAAGTTACTGTTACTGTTTAGATGTAATAAACAGTTTAAGACATAGTTTAGTTAGTTATAATGTGTAAAGTTATTAAATACTTACAGTATTCAATGACGGCTTTGTCTTATTCTTATCCAAAATGAACTGCAGACTAGTAAAAGCAAACCAAGTGCTTTTATAAACTTCTTCTGATACATTCACTTTCACCGATGGAATCAAAATTTCAAACATAATAATTCAAATTAACCATAACAAAATTGAGGTATCTGCAATTTATCGTCCGCCATGTTCAGAACCCCACGAGTTTTTAAAGAATATCATATTTTTTTTCAAAATCAAAATAAAGTTCATTTAAAGCAACATATTTTCTTGGGAGATGTCAATATAAATATTTTGGACGATGATCCCATCACAAATGAATACTTGAATATCCTATCATGTAACGGATTTCTGTCCTATATAAACCTACCTACAAGGTCCATCAGTAGTACATGTATAGATCACTGCTTTGTGAAAGACCTATCCAACAAAATTACTTGTATACCAATAATCCTAGAAAGCGATATTACTGACCACTTCTCCACTATTTTACTGATATCTTCAAATGAAAAACATTCTAACATCCCTACCGTTAATAACAACCAATGAAAATTACAAATTTTTTGTCGACAATTCAAAACTAATATCAAATGTCAAACAAGAATCCTGGGAACAATTATACTCTATAAATAATATAGACAAAGCAACGGGACTGTTCATAGAGGAAATGAAAAACTAATAGATATTAGTACCAATAAAGTAATAATTAGTCACAAAGAGAAAAGCAGAAATGTCTGGATTACCAAGGGTTAATAACATCGGCAATAGAAAAAGAAAGACTATATAATGTAATGAAACTAACGCAAACTACAGAGAATACCGACTGCTACAACCAATATAAAAATAAATTTATAGAGCTTGCAAGGCAAACCAAACGAAAACATTACCTAAATAAATTGAATAATAACTTAAATGATCCTAAGCGGCTTTGGACAACTATTGATGAGATTACTGGGAAAACAAAATTTAAAGAGTGTCACTGAGTTAAATACAACATCGGGAACAGTATTAAAAAATACTCAACAGATATGTGATGAATTTGTCCAATTCTTTACTGACATATGCGAAAATTTAGCAAGTAATAAACAAGCAAATGTACAAAATACTCAGCCTCCAAAAAGAACTTTGAACTCATTTATTTTGGATAAAGTCGAGCAATGTAAAGTATACACCACTGTTATGTCCTTAAAAAATCGGAAAAGTCCTGGGTTCGATGGTATTAAAAGCGAGCATTTGAAAATTATAGCCGAGGACATAACAGAACCACTCACTTACCTAATCAACAAATGCTTTGAATCTGGCATATATCGCTCAATTTAAAAAAAAGGTAATATAATACCGATACATAAATCAGGAACAAAAACAGATGTTAACAACTATAGACCAATATCAATAATATCCAGTGTAGCAAAGGTTTTTGAAAAAGTTTTATCTACTAGAATGATTCGATACCTCACAAAATTCAAAATTTTAAGTGAAAATCAATATGGATTTACAGAAGGGAAGGCTACATCGGACGCAACAAATAAAATTGTAAATCAAATATACTAAGTGACATATAAATCCGAACACCCAGTTTAAATGGTTTTATTTTAATAAAAGTTGGTGAATGTATTTATCTTACTGTAAATAACAAGTGAAAAAATTTTCAGCCTTATCAGTTGGACATTCCGGTTTTTATACTGTTTTTTTTTAATTCACTAACGCTCTAAAAATGAATATTTCAGCCGCAGTAAAGAATCAACGTTGGCGGATTTTGGTTCTTGACATCCTTTACGATCGGTTACGATGCCTAGAGTACCGAGACCTGTACGATTTCGTCAACTTAGTGAGTGTGATAGGGGTCGTATAGTGGGACTTTGGGAAGCTGGACTTTCTTTTCGGGCAATTGCAGTTAGAGTGCAAAGAAGTGTAGACACTGTGGTTAGGTGTTGTCAGGCATGGCTTCGAGAAGGCCGTACGCAAAGAGCAAGGGGCACTGGACGCCGCCGTAGAACAAAAGACCGTGAAGATCGCCGCCTAAGATTATTGGCCTTAAGGGACCGTTTCTCCACTACCAGGTCCATTGCAAATGAATGGTTTGCAGAACACGGAAGACCTAGTGGCATGCGAAGTGTTTACCGACGAATGAGAAGTTTTGGCTTGTTTTCATACCGGCCACACTGGGTCCTCCTTTTAACTCGAGAACACCGACGTAATCGTCTTGAGTGGTGCAGACAACGGTCACTCTGGGATCAGGAATGGAACAGTATTGTCTTTAGTGACGAGTCTCGATTTTGTTTAGGCATGCACGATGGTCGTGCCAGGGTTAGAAGGCGACGTGGTGAAAGGAGGAATCCACAGTTTTTTGTTGAAAGACATGTTCATCACACTGTTGGAGTTATGGTTTGGGGTGCTATAGCTTACGGTTCCAGGTCACCTTTAACCTTCATCAGAGGTAATGTGAACGCGCAGCGTTATATCCACGAAGTTCTAGAACCCCATCTTTTACCCTATCTTGACACCCTGGCAGATCCAACTTTCCAACAAGATAATGCCCGACCACATGTTGCAAGAGTCGCAATAGACTTCTTTCAACATAATGATGTCACATTGTTACCATGGCCACCAAGATCTCCCGACTTATCCCAAATTGAGCACGTGTGGGATATGATGGGTAGAAGATTGCTCAATTTGCAACGTCCTCCTCAGACTCTAGAAGCACTTCGAGAGGAGCTGGTGGTTGCCTGGAATGAGATACCACAGGAGGACATTGACCACCTGATCAGAAGCATGCCTAGGCGCGTTGGAGAATGCGTAGCACATCAGGGTGCATCCACACATTATTAAAGGTCAAAGGGCTTTAAAGCAGTGCAATCATTTTGAAATTTGTATCATTTACTTATTATGCTTCATTAAGTACCTATACAAAATTTTATTAAAATAAAACCATTTAAACTGGGTGTTCGGATTTATCTGTCACTTAGTATACATCAAAATATTGATAACAGAATCCCTTCAATCTGCATTTTTGTTGATTTAAAGAAAGCTTTCGACACAGTTAATCACAAATTATTATTAGAAGCATTGGAGAGAATTGGTTTCAGAGGAAACGCGTACTCACTGATCGAAAATAAGAAATTTAAAAAAGTGGCTACATTCTACATCTAGGACTGAAATTCATAAACTCATAAATACGAACATCAACTAAATACATAATCTACTGTAGCTAATTTTTGTCCTTTTTTGTCATTTGCATTCTACAGTTTCAACTTAAATTATTGGTCCATGTACAGGCGATGCCTTCTATTGGGCCTGTTTTGATTCCTCAGCTTGGAGGGCTTGTACACGTTGCACGTGAAACGGGTACAATCCCTCATCCTGCAGCGTTTGCCACACTTTAGTCTTCGACACTAGTACTTGTCTAGCCACGTCCCTAGTGCTTGTTGAAGGATTCTCGTCTGCGAGATTCACTACTTCTTCCTCAGTTGGCACCATTCGGGGTTGGCTAGGTCTCCCACTGAGCCCACTTCGACATTCCTCCAAACGACCCGTATTCCGGAGTCTCTGCACAAGGTTAACAAATCAACGGGGCCTTGGATGATCACGTTTGGGAAAACGATCTGCATACTCTCGCGAAGCCTCGGTCGCATTTTGAAGACACTCACCGTAAATTAACAGCATGTCGACTAGTTCGCTATTGATGTATGAGTGTGCTATTTTTTTTTGAACAGCAGTCGGTTACCAATGTAATGTTTTGTTGACCTACTCTACCGCCGTGTAGGTTAGGTTACATACTAGCGTACGAGTATTTACATCGAGGTCGTACGTCGTACAACTGTACGCTGGCGCTGGCGTTGTGGACGTGATCGAGGGATAGAACCGGCTTGGGTATGGTTCAGGTTTGATTGAGTTTGCGGAGTCCAATATCTCGCTTCTCTTAAGACATTGGGTGTATTTACTACTAAGAAAATCCGCTTACTTTCTCAAGATCTACACGTCGTGTG